AACTACAACATTTCTTAAGTTTGCCGTAATCAGTTGCAATCGATGATTCAAAAGAAAAAGTGGAATTTTAGAAAACTCCTGCGGACATTTTTTTGGCAGAACGTTCTAGTCTTTGTATTGATGCAATTTTGTCTTTATCAACAAGAATACGCATCAGTTACTTGCCTTACACTCTCCTAAATCATTGTTTGGATCAGTGTATTTGGCCATTTTCAAAAATGTTGCATTGCAATTGTTGATTTCGAGGATTCATCGCATTAAGCAACACCACATGAATCACATGAGTCACAAGCAAACTCTACTGACTCATTATTCATTGCTGCTTTGTTTCCTTGAAGATATTTTTCAGAAATCGCGGAATTTCCTGAAAACCATTTAACAATGCTGGAGATTTCATCAAACACTCTGAGGAACAAGCTGAAGAAGTCTTCTTGGTGTCATAATATGATGAATTAAAGTTCTAACGGAAAAGAAGACGAAAATAGAAACAAATATCAGCTGCATAACAAACAAAAGGATATAGACAATCAATAAGTCATTTGTCTTTGAAACATTAATTCATTGACTTTTGCACTGAAAATGTCCATTCCTTTGTTGAGATATGGTATTATATGGCCAAATAATATATGTTCAAAGTGATATGTGTACTCATCATCGTAAGATAAACTCAAATTATAATCTGTATCTAAATCCAAAGAGACATTGTATTAAACAGCGATACTTGCGCTTTACATGACAACTGTAGTACACATCATGCATAATACCATACACAGGGTCTTTTATCGTCACTTTTGTATCGATATTTTTGGGATTTCATATAATTATCATTGATATCAGTTCCAAAATCAATCCAGGTAATGAATCAAGGTTAGTAGATCCATATAACAACGTATAAACCTTTGCTGGAACTTGCGAATTAATTTAACGACAATCTTCAAATTTGTTCGATTGTTTATCACAGGATTCTTCGAGAAATATTCCTGTGCCACACGTAACATGTTGATGCATGTGAAAACACAGTAATTGAGTACGTATAAGCGTTTGCCATCTGAATAATCTGTCTCATTGAGGCATGGAATACGCAGATGCCTGTATAACTCATTAATATTGAAAATGTAACAAAAATTGTGCAGCAGCCGAGCCAATCTATATAGATTCCATGTTGATATCTCGGAACAAGAGCTAAATTCTCAAGAAGTTCATCTTTCCTTAGATCTGCACCTTCTTGAGATGCTTCATCTGGTGTTATTTCTTCTCTTTTTATTGTTCCTTTTCCGTATTTCCCTTTAATATTCCATCTGAGGGCCGCAATTTCGTTTTTAGGAATTCCGAAGAACAATTCCAATTGTGCTTTGATTTCTTTCTTCGCAACAATGATGTTAGCCCTGTAAGAGGAACAATAAAAACAATTGGAATTATAATTGTTATGAAATAGTAGATATCGCATAATCTTTGGAATTCTCATAAAAAGAGATAATGTGTGCGTTCAAGTAACCTAAAGCTGATGTAACTCCAGATACAACTGCATCAAAGTTTTGGAATAAAAATTCAAGGTTGGCGTTGTCATCCATTGGACTGAAATTGTTTTTGTCCTTCAAATTGGATGCTGCCAACAAATAACTTGATAACATATTATATAAAGTCGAATTCGACTCAACACCGCCTGAATATATCCTATGGGAGCTATTTGCACATACCTCATAAGGAATATCATCATCTGTACAAGAATCTAAGTATCCCGAAATTTTTCGAGAAAATTATATATATTGGTCCAAATAATACCTCGTTGAGTTCTCATCACTAAACTCGACCAAATGTCCAGCTACTGGCCAACATCGAATTTTTTGATCTCATTATTTTGATATTAACGAGATTCTTCGAATAAGTTGAGGAATACGACTAACTTGCATCTGTATACTACCAATAATTTGTATTGGTAATGTTAACTTGAGGAATCCTTTGACTTTGAACAAAGAAATTATTAATTGAATCAAAGGCATCGCAGCTATGATAAATATCATGATAACTGTGGTAAATATAACAAGTCTTCTTGCTCTTGATGGGATATTCTTTATAATTGCTTGTGCAGACAGCCAAGGATCCATTTGTTCTTGAAAATTACGATCTATTTCTTCTAGTTCGCTTGATGATGATCTCTCACTTTCTACATCACCTATTTTCTTGATTTTGTTGAGCTTTGCTTGTAATTCCAACGTTTTTTCATGATTTCAAGAACTTTATGGTAAATAATGACTGTTTCTCTATATGCTGTTGATGATAATGGATAATTCCTTATCAAGTTCTGAATAAGTTCTCTGTTCTTGTAAATTCATTTGAAATTTGAGGAATTACGTCATTCATGCATTGTATTCTTTGTTTAATGACATTGCCCCAGAACTCTGAACAGAAATTTTGCAATGTATAGCTTTCATGCTTGCAATGTTGGATGTTTGACAATAATGGCTGGTTTAATTGAGTCAAGAGTTCTTGTCTTAATAGATCAAACAAAAGAGCAAATGATCTACTATTAAATGGCACAGATGAAAGTTTATCAACGTGAACAGATAAACTATTAAGCATTCGAAAGTCATTTTTCAATGCATAAGAGATCTGGCAAGCGCTTAACAATAAATCTGCTTTAACTGTTTGATCAATCGACCATTTAATGAAACTTTGGTCTTCTACTTCAGGGATATGAAATAAAAATCCAACTCTCAAGTAAAGAGAGATCTGATGCTCTCCTGATATATTGAGCTTCAAGAAGTCAACATTCGTGTTCTGATTCAAATGAAGTATAGCTGCTGAAAGAGGATCCAAATTATTATCTTCTCCTTCTTCATCTTCTGATTCCCTCATCCCGTGAAAGCATCTTATGATCCTTCTGCATCTAATAGTCACAAGCTTCTTCGCAATGAATATTGCTATAGGTATAAAGATGATGCAAACAATAAAATAATACAAAGCGTATTTCTCAGTGTAATAAGAGACTAAAGGGAAGAGAGTAAGAGGAAGTGAAGCTAAAGCAGCCCATATGATGACTGCATTGTATTTTGGAGCTACTGCAGGTAAAATTCTCAAAACATTAAAAGCAAAAAAAAGATGCAAGAGCAAAAAATAAAAACAAATGCGCAATTTCCTTGATTGGACTTGAGAGAAAGTAAGAAGTGATTGGAAGAACATTAAAACGTAAAGAACCATATTAATTCTTCGATCTAAGCAGGAATGAGCATACCAGAGTTGTGTGATATCATTTGGTCTAATCAAAGGTGTAGCATTGTATATTGCGCATGAATAGAAAACGTATGTACTATGCATTATGATAATTGGAATAGAAATCATTAAATTGTATAACTCATTCATTGTATATTCACCAACTATCGCAAATAAGTATTTCGAGAAGTAATATGAGATATATGATGAAAGAATGGGCAAAGGATTCTTGATTTAAAATCCAGGAGTAGATATCACTTCTGCTCGGTACGTTGCCACTTCATATACTTGAGGATGTTCTTAAATAGTAAATACATAAGTGCGGCGTAAATAATAATTTAGAGAAAAATTGAATGTTACAATGTGTATTAATAGATGCATTTAGCGGTAAGATGACAATGCATCTTTTAAGTATTGTAATGATTGTGTGAAAATTGTGAACTGAAGTCATTCGTTAATAAAACACCGGTTGAATCTAAAATCAGATAAAATTGGAGAAAACAATCATTCGAAGTGTGTTTAGCCACGAAGGAAGCTCGTTAAATCTGCCTACATCCATTGAATACTGCTGGAGGTAATAAGAAAACGAGAATTGATTCGTGTGATTCGTCAGCTTTAACGCGCAGCTTCTCGCCTCCATTCCACATAGCACTCATATCGACCTCATATTTCTTCGATAAGGTTGATTTGGAATGAATGCTTGAGGCTGCGTAAATACTCGTCATAATCAATTAAATGACTGTAATTTTTTGAATTGAAAATATGGAGTAACATATATTGCATCGTTTGATTTGTTGCAATGTAAATTTATTGGTTATTTCAAAATTGAATACACATTGAATTTGTGAATTCAGATACACACGATAGTTTTTTTCCAATAGATATTTGCATACATATGTTGTAGGTGATACCGATAAAATTATATTTATCGTTGAACTTTACAATTGAGGCAATCGCGAAAACAAATTTACAGATTTTCCAATTTTGAAATGATAACCCATATAGTTTCAAACTACATATTCGCATTGTGCTTGGAAAACATATTTTATGCCCTTTCTAAGTAAAATGTTGTCAGAGAAAGGCAAAACTATGCCTCAATATCAAATTGCAATAATTTTTTTGATTAGTATGCAAAATAGCTTTTGAGGGCGTTGAATAATTTATATAATCTAAATAAAAAGAAATGTAAAAATAATAGGTGGAGTGCTCACCTCGGCTTTGCTCGGTAGCTCAATACACATCATTATATCATCGATTAAATTTCTAAGCAAGTTATTGATTGCATCAACTATATTTTCCAAGATTGGAAAAAGCATCTGTATTCCTAATAAACTAGGGGTAAAAATCGTCCATTATTATCTCAATGATTTAAGAATAGTGTAATTGAAATCTCAAGAGGAAGGCTTTATCATTCAGATAAACTAAATTAACATAAAGATACATGTATAATAAAAGCAGGGATATGAAAGTTTATAGTATGAAATCACAAGGAGAACTTGTAATTTTTCGAGAATGACAGACTAGCTTAATTGAGCAATTTTATTTTCTTCTATAAATAGATGCTTGTAAAGACAATGCGAAAAATCAGTCAGAAAGATCAGAAGAGTAGATCAGAAAAAGAAACTGCTGATAGAGTCTGCGACCAGATTAAAAATAAACGAAAAACTTTGACTTTTGATGCAGATAATATGAAATTTTTTGCTTGTATAAGCAAGTAGTGTTTAACGTTGGCATAGAAAAGTCATCAAATTCGAATAAAAATAGGAAAATAAGAAAAATTGAATTTCCTTTTGTACAATGAAGTTTTCTATCGTAGCAAATGTTCTGAGTAACCCATGTCGAGTTTACTACCCTTACTAGAAACGTCCGAAAGGATGCGCGTAAATTCCGTCAAAATGGCCGTTTCCAATTTATGCGGTTTTTTTTGTAAATTTTTCAGCCGCCAAATTTGAAGAGAAAATTTCTATACTAATAAACTTTTATAACAGAAATGAGTTCTAGTGGCGACAGGATTCCAGACCCTGGACCTGTTTCCGTAGAGGACAACGCTACCAGTGAAGCGCAACCTTCAGGGCCCGAAAAAGTCCCCGAAGCGCCAAAGTCGGAGGTATTGCCATCCGATTTGCCAGCCGAGGCTCAGAAAGAAGTGATAACTATCATTAAAGCTGAGTCTTCTAGCAACCAGTTGCCTGCACAGAATACTACGAATGGAAATACAAAAGACAGCGGAAATCAGAAACCACCCGAAACTACGAAAAAGACAGTAATGACTCTTTCTGTCGCAAATCTCATGTCTGACCCTACACCTCTAAATGCACTGCATTCTAAGGCTCCTACTGTCACGATTAAGACAAACCAATCTGTAATTCGGCCTGCGTCAGTGCAAAAGTTTACGGGAAAAACAATAGCTACAAGATCGATCAAGACAATAATAAAGCCACAGTCAGATCTTACTTTCTTGCAGCCTGCACGCCTCCTAATAATTCAAGCACCAAACCGCCAATCAATTGAAATCCCTCAAACAACATTCAATCAAAATTTTGCGCAATACAACTACGGAACATATTACGGCCAGCCATACCAGGTAATACAAGGCTCTTATCCAAACATCCCTCAGACCTACAATTCGAGTTATCCAATACCTACGTATCAAATGCCTCAAACATACACTCCTCCGTGGCAGAAGCTTCCTCAGCCTGCGATAAATATTGCAAAGCAGCCTCCACCGCAAAATCAGAAAAATCATCAGCATGATTTGATGCCTCCTGAACCAACTTATTATACGGACGAAGATTCTGGCCAATACGGAGTTAGATGTACTTGTGGTGATAACCACAATAGAGGATTACTCGTACAGTGCGAAAAATGCCAGTTTTGGCTCCATGGCATTTGTGTAAATTGTCCTCGAGCTTCGTCTACAGAGCAGTTCCTCTGCCCCTTCTGCCAAGCGAAGAGACTCAGATGCAGATGCAAGAAAAACAAATCGTACAATATTCCAATTGTTCAATGTTCTCATTGCAAATTATACTTGCATAAGCAATGCGAAGGACTTGGATTTGGAATTATTCCAAAGCCATTTGTCTGCTGCCAGTGCCATAAAACACCATTCGAACTTCCTTACGTAAAATTCGATCCAATCTTCAAAGAAATACGCGATTTTACAGTTTACGTCGATCCCGCTCGCTACGAGGTTACTATTAACATTCCCGATGGTAACTTCAAGACATCTCTCGAGCAGGACCTTACAAAATCAGAAATTTCTTTCATTGACACAATGACAAAATATTTCAACAAGTTCTGCGTTCACCTCCTTGGAAATTCAAACCAGGAGATATGGAATGTCTTTACTTCTACGTTTTCTACTGTTTTTAACTGTTCAAAAGAATTAATTTGCGCAGCTATCGACCATCTTACTTACCAATTACTCTACGCCCATGAATATACCCCTTACATGGACATTGTCCCTGATTTCGGCTACAGTGAAGCAATTGCTGAATATGTCGAGACATTTCAAGGCCAATCATTCGACAAATTACCTACACAAACCCAGTAACTCTTAATAGTAACTTAAAGGTCATTTCTCCTCAGTTTCAATGATGGCGATTTCATATGCGATCTTCCGGGTTTTCTGATGCATACCGATGAAGTTTTTAGCGACAATGGCATTCCTCCAACATGTTTGGCCGTTGACAACACTGTACTCGTTATAGATATATGGACGATGGTCGAGCGACAATCACTCGCAACGAACTTCAGAAGGTCAATGCATTCAAACACAGCTGTTAGATTAATAATAGTTGATGAAACCACGCGTCGCACTATTTGCCACTAAATTGACTGGTCCTTTAGCGACGATAAAAACGGCCAATGTATCAAAGCTGGGAGGAAGTAATTTCCTTTTGACGGCGAATTACCTTATCACGTCGAACAAAGCCATGGAAAGGCAAGAAACAGAGATCGAGACAGCCTGTGAAGCAGAAAGAAGAGAAGAAGCAACAGAAGAAGAAAGTGCAACAGCAACAGAAGAAGAAGCCTCAACAGAGCCATTCCGCCTCTCACCCTTTTGTCTTCGTTTTTGGAATATTATTCCGCCAATCCCGTCCAGATTATATCGGACGAAGAAATGGCAGATAGGATGAGAACCCTCGAGAAGGGAAAGGAGAGGAGATTGGGCCGCTCCCAAAATGAAGATTATGTGTTCGAATAAATATTATATTTATAAAAATATTGAATTTAATGATATTTCCATAATGTGTATAAGTTTTGTTATCTATTGGACTATTTCTCAATAAGTTATATGATAAAAATTATCAAATTTTCAATCTGATTTCAATGAATATGAATCTTATAATAGCAAAGTATAATAAGATAACTCTATTTTTAAAAGTTAAGATCTTGATGTCATTAAATCAATCTCGATGAATCAGATTTCAAGAAATATTATTTTATATTACTGAATTTTAAGCAGATTTTCTTGACATTCTATACCAAAACAGAAAATATGAATATGAACGATATGGGCAAGATGAGAGTGCAAAGTGAAACAATGAAATCTATTGCTTATTTGGAGGTTAAGGTCCACTGTAAGGCAAATAAGGCCTATCGTCGTCCTAAAAATATTGCTCAAGATGGTGTTTTTACTAAGGCCCAAAACTTAAAAAAAACCACAAAAATTAACTTTACTCTTATGATCCTTATCAGATGTGCAACAATTTGATGCAGTATCGCAATTCGAATCCGATTTTTTAATGTAGATGTACTCTAACATTCTTGAAAAAATGCAAAATGATATTAATCAAGCTTTTCATTTCTGTATCATACACGAAACAAAAATCATTCATTATACTAAAATTTATCAAAGTTTGAATAATGAAAAAAATAATATCTAAAATTTTACATTGAGTCGGCTATTGATATGGTCAATATTAAATCGTTTAAAAATGGGCATTGGCCAGAATAATACCCACTAAAATACACATTTTTTTAAATTTTATCAATTTGTTTTGGTATATCTTTTATTATAATGAATAAAATGCTTATCTTTCATAAGTCAATACATAATTTATGCTGAAACACAAAAAATAACACGAAAATTTTTGGCCAACATTAGTAGTATATGTTTGAAGGGTTGTGTGACTTTTTTTGTAAACGTAAGAATTCATACAATATTGAACGATTTTGTATCATTTTTTTAACATATGAAGTAAAAAATGTATGATTCTTACGGTTTTTATTCTTACGTTTTTGAATAAATCAAGATTTAAAAAATTTTCAAAATTGTAAGACATTTACACTCAGCCCAAACATAATGAAATAAATAAAAAAAGAAGCTATATATAGATGATGTTAGATATTCGCGATTAATTAACATTATTTGAATTTATGAAATCAATAAAGTCATAATCAAAGACCTCATAAACGAGAAAAAGAAATTGAAATTAATGATTATTTGAATTTATGATATCAATTATTTGATTTATTCTTTCTTCAATCTCTTCTATTCTTTTTGTTAAATCATCTATTTTCATTAATGAGGTGATTCTTGATTGAGGAATAGATTTCAAACTAACCACCCCCTTTATTTTTGAAATTTTGAATCCATCAACTTTAAACATTTTATTCAATTTACATGTTGTCAATTCTTCAAATAATTTTTTATTATTAGCATAATAGTCATTAAATTCTTCAACAGATGAAAAAAATTTTATTTCAGTAATTGGTTTAACAACGTTTATTTTTTGTTGAACATCTTCACTTTCATTTATTTTTAAAATCGGTTTCATTTATCATTAAATAAAAATTAGAATATAAGTGATGAAATATATTTTTTAATTAATATTAAATCAGAAATGGCTGCAGGATTCTTAAAAAATTATGGATGGAATTAAGAAAGCTGCGGGTTGGGTTCATAAAAATATTATTAAACCCGTTGCAAACTTTTTGGCACCAGTAGCGAAAACGGCAGGAACTATCATAGGTGGAGTATTAGGTACTAAAGCAGGTAATCCGGCGATGGGAGCACAAGCAGGTAACGCAATTGGTGGAATAGCTGAAGGAATACTTAATAAAATAGGAGGTAGATAGTTGAAAAATAAATAAATATTATTTTTATCTTAGTATCGGTTGAAGTCTTTGATAAACTTTTTCTCCTTTATTTAAAACTTCTCTTATTGGGGCAGCTTTTGGCGTTATTGATTCAGCAATGTCACTAATTGCTTCTTATTTCTTAAATATCCAATTTGCTCCTTTCTTCATTGTTTCCCAAACTTTATGCGCTCCTCTTTTTACTTTATCCCATAATTTTTTAAAGAATCCTGCAGCCATTTCTGATTATTTCATTAAAATTAAAAATTCATTTTCATCTTTTAATTTTGATTTTTTATTTATTAATAAATGACGACTAAGTATTTAGTGCCAAACACTAAACCGATTAATGGAAATGTGTTTCATTCATTCGAAAAGATAAATGAAATATTCGAAAGAATGACGGTAGAAGATATTATAGAGAACTTGAAAGTTCATGCTATGACTCTGATGCTCCATATTTTGATGATAAACAAACTCATTTAAGAATTACAAATCCGGCTCATGATGTGAACCAATTAGGTGACACATATATTAAACGCAAAGTTAAAGCAACTCTAGTTTCAAATAAAGCTTTCACATGTGATGCCGCTTTTAAATGCATGCGTTTATTCGTTGGTTACAAATCATCAAATCAAAGCCTAAACAATTAGAAGTGAAACCGAAAGAGGTGATGCGCGTTATCTTCAGATGGATTGCGCCCGTGAATCTTTCGCATTTGCAACATATAAACCAAAATCAGAAAGGAAAGTTAAAAAGTTTGTTCATTCGTTATATAATAATGTTCAAAAATATGATAACTCAGTATGTGGTAAATATATTGACCCTTCAGAAGTTTTCAAGAAAGCAAATGAAGAAGTTGATGTCACTTTTGATATGATTATTCCGGTAAATGATTTGTTAGCATTTCAGGCGTTCGATGATTATCCTAAATCATTTGGTGAAATCATTCTTAAATATTATGTTTTCAGGGATACTTTAGTATTTTGTCAGGTTGACCCGTTAAGAGTTGCTGATTTACAAAATTACGTTTATGAAAAGATAACTGATGAAAATTATGAAAAGATTATGAATCATGTTTATAAATATGATCGCAAATTCCAACAAATCGGACTTCCTACCAAATTAATTACAAGCTTAGCCGCTACATCTGCTGACGCAACAGTTGATAACGTTATTATTTCATGCACAAAGATGGAAGTTTTAGAGGATAAATGCATTACACCAGGATACGGTTTAATTGAAGAATCAGTTAAAGCAATACCACGTTTATTTAGTAAGGAAGATCCATTCATGATTCCAGCTCAACATATTGACGTTCGTTCACTAAATGGAGGTTGCATCACTCCTGAAGGTATCAGCTCAGATTTCTCATACGCTCTTCATAATGTTACAGATGTTGTGTTAACATTTCCGAAGAATGCAATGCAAAGAACAGTTTAGAAAATCCAATGCTTCGAGGTCTTCAGGTCACTATAGATTCCAGAAACTTCCCCGATCAAGCGATGACCACAGTGGGCGACATATTCTTTACACGTATGCTTCAAGCTTCTGATTTAGATGGAGTGAATGAATGCACGGAAGAATACGAGGACTCATTAACTAGACCACTGAATGATGATAATGGTATGCCATTAGCTAGAACATGGAAAGACCAAACTTCATTCTTATGCACTATTCCAGTTCAACGTGATGGAGCGGGTATATTCTTTGATGGATTAGAAACTTTCAATTCACAAGTTACAGTACAAGTGAAAGCTTATCCAATCATTCAGGGTGAAAATGACACTTACTGTTCAAAGGTGACAAATCCTCCTCAGGTTTGGTTTACTAGGACTACGTATTGGACATGGACACCGGATGAAGGTTTGAAATTCATCCAACAGGTACACCACCACAGTATAGAAGTTCATATGATGAAATATTGATGAATAGAAATGTTTAAAATTATAAATTTATTTTTGATTAAATGGATTTAAATTCATCCACCCCTATTGAAGAATTAGCAGGAGTATATAATACATACATAGATGATATGATTAATGAAGCATTGAGTGATAATAGAAATGCTCTATCTAAGGAAAAATTAATGAAAATTCCATATTCTGAATGTTACTTAAATTCAATCACTGCAGCAATTGGTAAACAAAATAAAGGTAAAACATTAACGATATTAAAGCAAATTATCATTATTGCTAACACTTCCCCCTATTCACATGTGTTAATTTATATCAACCGTTCAGGTTCACCTTCAGATGATACATTTGAATCTTTAAAGCATTTAATCAAATTCCAATTATTTATTTATCACAAGAAGAAGCAGAAGATTATTTAAAAAACTTTTAATGTATAAAGAATTATATAATACAATCAAAAAGCAAGGATTAGAGGATAAATTATTGATAAACAACGGATGAATTATTTGAAACACTTTCTATTTCAAATTTTGATAGAGAATTTTTGCATTCA